GAGGGAGGGGGAGAGAAAGGGAGAGGAAGGGAGGGAGGGACAGAGAGGGAGGGAGAGAGGTTCTTTATTACAATCAATGACCGATATAAAATACAGGTAGTCCTCAACTTACAACATTGCATTTCGTGACCGCTCAACGTTATGACGACACTGGGAAAAAAAGCAATTTATGACCGTTTCCCCACGCTTAAGACCGTCGCAGCTTCCCCACAGTCATGTGATTGAGCCCAAAATTTATGTCGCTAAGCTAGACATTGGTGAAGTGAGTTTCCCCTAACCCCATTTTATGACTTTTCTTACCACTGTTGTTAAGTAAATCACCGCAGCTGGTAAGTTAGTAACCCGGTCGTTAAATGAATCTGGCTTCCCCCATTGACTCTGCTGGTCAGAAGATCACAAAAGGGGACCCCGTGACTCCCAGGGACACTGCGACCATCGTTAACTATGAGTCCGTCGCCAAGGGTCCAAATTTGGATCCCGTGACCCCGGGGAGGCTGCGACGGTTGTAAAGTGTGAAAAATGGTCACGAGTCCCTTTTTTTTCAGTGCCGTCGTAACTTGGAAGGGTCATTAAATGAACTGTCGTCACTGTACGAGGACTATGAAAGGGCTCAAGATGTTGCATCTTGCCTCAAGGTGACCACACCTTTCCTTTCCCCCAACCTTTTGGGCACCGGCGACCAGTTCTGTGGAGAGAGGTTTTTCCGCGGACCGGAGGGTGCGTGGCTTTGTATACTGCCTGTATCTTGTGGCTGGGGCTTTGTTTGTGCGGACCAGTTGCTGGCATGCTGTGGCCCGGTGCTGGTCCATGGACTGGGGGTTGGGGACCTTTGATTTAGAGCAGAGGTCCCCAATCTTTTGGGAACCAGGGACCAGTTCCACGGAGAGACGTTTTCCCGTGGACCGGAGGGTGCGTGGTTTTGTGTGCTGCATGCATCCCGCGGATGGGGCTTTGCTTGTTTGTGCGGACCGGTTGCTGGCATGCCGCAGCCCATTACCGGTCCACCGACCAGGGGTTGGGGACCCCTGCTTTAGTTTTCTAGGGAGCTGAAAGGGTTGAAGTGGACAGACGTCAGGCATGGAAGACCAAGTTTCCCAATGAAGGTTCAGTTTCAGCAGCTTCATTGCTAAAGGCCCGTGCGCAGGAATCTTCTCGACCGAAGGTCAGCATCTGCTTAGTTAGATAAAGGTCAATGGTGCCCAACGGGGGGGATTGGGCTTGGTTCCTTTATGGCTACGTAGCAATTCTAGGCTGATTCCTCCTTTAACTCCGCCCTTGGGTTCTGCCAGTCCTTCTCCCACAATAGACCACGATGGGCTGACTGCAGGAGACGACCCTCGTCCTGCAGCAACAGAGGCTGGACACTCACTTGGTCAGAGTCCAGGAGACAGTAGTTGACCCGCAGTTGAACGAGCTGAGCGAGAAGATCCAAGACTTGTCGCTGCAGTTGCACCGACGTGGTGGTGGTGTACTGCTTGAGCGCTTTGATGACAAGCGGTTCAAAGAGACGGATGTGGTTGTGGATGATATTCTGAGGGAGAAAGAGAAGGGCGGCACCCCAGCAGGACGCCAGGCGGGAAGAAATGCGTGAAAACATAGCGTCCCATCTTTGGAAACCCTCCCCAAATGACTCCACACCGTTAAGAACAGCTGAAGGGCAAGATCTCATGCAGGGGTCCCCAACCTGTGGGCAGTGGCCTCTTGGCCACCGGGCTGCATGAGTAGCCGTCTAGTGCTCGTGCAAGTGTGCGCACGCTCACCATCCCTCACACAAGTGTCATGCAGGGGCTAATGTCGCCACGTCACGCAGGTCCTAGCATCGCCCCGAGCACTGCCCAGGTGCACTGCTGTTGGCCTGCTTGCAGCACGCGCACGCAGTCATGTTCACGTGTGCGCATGCACGCATAAAGGCAACTGCCCCTAGCCTTTCCCACCGGGCCGCCAACTCAGAAAGATTGGCGACTCTTGATCTAATGGACTCAGGGGAAGCTCTTGCAGGGAACTCCCTATCTTTAAAGGAGCCTTGTTCTTTTTTAAACCTCTTACACAAGTAGTCCAGGAGACAAGGATTTCCTGCAAGGTGTTGTAGTTTTGCCAAGGGATTCCAGAGGGCAGATACTTTGAGGGAACCCTTTGAGGTGGGGGACACCCAGAGGGGATACAGAAATTCTACCCTCAGTTGCACGGACAATATTGAGCGGTGAGATTCACCGTAATTTATTTCAGGACTCAAGGCAAACCTGGCAGCTTTCAGGCTTTTGGACTTCAACTCCCAGAATTCCACAGCTGGCAGAGCTGGGAGTTGAAGTCCACAATGTCTTAAAGTTGCCAAGTTCAGAGAGCCCTGGTCTACGGGTGAAGAAAAATACCCTGCCCCAGATAAATAGTCAACGTGTTTCTCTTACAGCAGTGGTTCTCAACCTTTTTAATGCCGCGACCCCAACCGGTCGTAAGTCAAGGACTACCCAACCGGTCGTAAGTCGAGGACTACCCAACCGGTCGTAAGTCAAGGACTTTCCCTGCCCAGGAGCGCCGCGCATGCGTGGTTCCGCCCCCTGCGCCGGCCGAGGCGTAGCTGGCAAGCGGCAGAGACGGAGCAGGCCGACCACCAGCTGGCCCAGCTCAAGGGAGGTAAGGCACCCGCCGGAAAAGGGGGAAAAAATGGCGGACAGCCTTGCTTGGCGACCCCCATGAAATGGTCGATCGACCCCAAATGGGGTCGCGACCCATAGGTCGAGAACCGCTGTCTTACAGTATTTTTTTTTTCCGAAATGTGCTTTGTGTTGTACCTTGTCAGCCCGGTGCTTGGCCATATTTGTGGTGCCAGTTTTCAGTTGCGTGGAAACCTTTTGCAGTATGTCAAACCAGCTATAAAATCAAATATTAACACAGGGTTAGGATTTAAGAGTCAACGCTTCACACAACCAAAAAAAACCATTTTTAACTGAAACTGAGCTAACACAGCTTCTGGCAGGCGTTGAGACAAGGTTGTTCCTTCAACAATGACACAATTGGGGATTGCGCCTGGTTTTATTTGTTTTTATTTATACTTCTTAACCATCCATCTCCCTTGGATTTATCCCTGCAAAAAGCATCACAATGACTATGTTAATAACCACTGCCATTTTTTTCCATTTTATTTTATTTAGTGTGCTACCCACGAATCTTGCAGCCTTAGAAACAGATTAAATAAATAAATGCAACCGGTTCTGCGTTGCAAACTTGAGATGTGCTTTTAAAATGAACGTAAAAGTAAAGTAGCCTTTGTATACCACCTTTCCCCAAAGCCTCTAGGTCAGTGGTTCTCAACCTGTGGGTCGGGACCCCATTTGGGGTCGATTGACCATTTCATGGGGGTCGCCAAGCAAGGCTGTCCGCCATTTTTTTTGTCCGCCATTTTTTTTCCCTTTTCCGGCGGGTGCCTTACCTCCCTTGGGCTGGGCCAGCTGGTGGTCGGCCTGCTCTGTCTCTGCCGCTTGCCACTACGCCTTGGCCGGCGCAGGGGGCGGAACCACGCATGCGCAGCACTCCCGGGCAGGGAAAGTCCTCGACTTACGACCGGTTGGGTAGTCCTCTACTTACGACCGGTTTAGTCCTCGACTTACGACCGGTTTAGTCCTCGACTTACGACCGGCTGGGGTCGCGGCATTAAAAAGGTTGAGAACCACTGCTCTAGATAGCTTAAATCTCTTTGCCTAAAAACATCCATAAAACCTATAGGATCCCAATTATCTTAAAAGTCTAGCGCGGTGAACATATTTTTTTTCCCCAATTTTAATTTTTGGTTCCCTCCCAAAAAAGGGGCTCCTTTTATTTTCAAAATAGAGAATAATTTGGCAACTGCTTTTTGCATATGTTAAAGTTTAACTGGCTCAGATTCTAACAAAGAAGATTTTTTTTTTTTTTTGGCCAATAACTAACCAGCAATTCTGACTGCCGGGCCGGGCTACGCAAAGCCTAATAAAGCAAGAGCGATTTGTCGTTAGTTCCGACCGATTGCTAATTAAGACTTTTCAGATGTCCAACCTGTTCACAGTAAATCTGCAAAGCGAGGGTCTCCGTCCAAGCTTGGCAACTTTGAGATGCGCGGACTTCAACTGTCTGGGGGGATTCTGGGAGTTGAAGTCCACGCGCCCTCTGGGAGTTGAAGTCCACGCGCCTTAAAAGTTGCCAAGCTTGGACACCCCCCCCCCCTACTTATTAAAGCATGCAAGACTAAGCCGTGTATTTCTCCTGGCATTTAGTTCAATAATTCTACACACAATGCCAAACGGGTGACCGGTTTGGAAGGAGAAAGTGACTCTCACCCCGAGGTGTCCCGTTCCTGCTCGGCCTGCATCATATTCCGCAAACTGGCATCGGCGAGGGCCTGGGTGAACTGGGTGTAGGGAGCCATGAAGCAGCAGTGGTAAAGGCCCGGCCTTAAGTTGGAGGAGCCCAAGTGCTGGCATTTGCCTTGAGCTCGGCAAGAGTTGGAAGACCAGCTGTCAAACTGAGAGGCCAGGTTGGTGCCAAACAAGGTCTTCAGTAACTGGGGAAGGCGGGAAAGAAGCAGTACGGAAAATCACAGTGATGCTCAACCAAAAAGAGAAGGAAAGAGAGGGAGGAGGAGGAGGAGGAGGAGGAGGAGGAGGAGGAGGAGGAAGTCCTTAAGCTCTGCCATTAGGAGAGATGGATGGGACCAGAGCCCGCACCACCTGGAGATCTTGGAAGGGGAGACTCTGCACCCTCTTTTTGTCCTTGCCCTCTTCCATCCAGCTGACTCTCTGCTTTATTTATTGGATTTCTGAATGGCCCAGAGCCCGCAATGTGACTATGTTGCTCCAGAACGAACGATAACACACAGAGTTCAAGAATGTCTCCTTAGGAAATTTTAAGGCAGCTGGGAGGATCTTATCACAGCCATACCAGAAGCAGTTAGAGGCTTAGCTTCCTTAGATAGCGAATGAAAACATCTATCCCATTGCAATTCTATGGCTCCATATTATGGGATTTTATTATGGTTTTATCTTAATGTAATATATTATCTCCTATACTCACTCTCTCTCTCTCTCTCCTATCCATCTCTCTGTCTCTCTCTCGTCATCTCTCTCATCCATCCATCTCTATCTCTCTCCTATCATCCATCTCTCTCTCATCATCATCTCTATCTATCATCCATCCATCTCTGTATCTCTCTATCTCCTATCATCTCTCTCTCTCTCTCATCCATCCATCTCTCTCTCCTATCATCTCTCTCATCCATCCATCTCTCATCATCTCTATCTCCTATCATCCACCCATCTCTCTCTCTCTTCTCTCATCTCTCTCTCATCTATCCATCTCTCTCTCATCCATCTCTCTCATCATCATCTCTATCTATCTCCTATCATCCATCCATCTCTGTATCTCTCTCCTATCATATCTCTCATCCATCCATCTCTATCATCCATCCATCTCTTTCTCTCATCATCATCTCTATCTCCTATCATCCATCTCTCTTTCTCTCCTATCATCCATCCATCTCTCTCATCATCTCTATCTATCTCCTATCATCCATCCATCTCTGTATCTCTCTCTATCATATCTCTCATCCATCCATCTCTATCATCCATCCATCTTTCTCTCATCATCATCTCTATCTCCTATCATCCATCTCTTTCTCTCCTATCATCCATCCATCTCTCTAGCATCATCATCTCTATCTATCTCCTATCATCCATCCATCTCTGTATCTCTCTCTCCTATCATATCTCTCATCCATCCATCTCTATCATCCATCCATCTCTTTCTCTCATCATCATCTCTCTCTATCTCCTATCATCCATCTCTCTTTCTCTCCTATCATCCATCCATCTCTCTGTCTCTCTCTATCTCCTATTATCTCTCCCCCCCCCAATTTTGAAGTGAGGTTTCAGTCAGACAGTTGTGTCAAATTTGGGTTCGAATCTACACTGGGAGGGACTAAAGTAATATGATGCAGCTGACTTAAGGAAGAACTCTTCTCCGAGAAAGACGCAAGGACAGACGTTTTAAACATTCTTTGTTACCTGCTGAACGCACACCGTCGCCATGACCGGCTCTTTGTTGAAACAGGATTTCAGGTAACACAGAATTTCTTCCACATACTAAAAACAGAAAGGCAGAATTAGGGGTTGCCCAAACAGCACTGAGCATGGCTGCAGTAGAAAACGAATTATAAAGAATATGAAGTTCCGTGAAGAAATTACGACTCTATGCGTGTCCAATTGTCAGAATGAGCTCATTTCTTGCCGCTCTGAAACTAAATCCACCACGGGACCTGTTTCAACCAGAGTTTCAGGGGCCACGGGGAGCCTGGATGCTGCGTGGAGGGTCCCGGGGTGCCTGCTGGGGGCGCAGAGGTTTTGAAGGCTGTGCAGATTGTGCAGAAGGCAAATGTGTTTGGCGTTTTTAGGCCCCATGACATGCTTCATCCTAATGCTGAGCTCTTAATTCCTATCACTCAATCACAATAGTGTTGATAAGCATCAGTTCTTTTTAGATTTTCATATATTCATTGTTTTTATAAATAATTCAAGGTGGTGAACCTAGTTGTTAAACACTCCTTCCTATTTTCCCCGCAACAAGCCTGTGAGCTGAGTTCAAAGCTCTAAACCAGGAGGTAGGCAACCTTGGCTCTTTTATGACTGGTGGACTTCAACTCCCAGAATTCCTGAGCCAGCCACACTGAGGGGAAAGGGAGAGGGTTCCAAGCTGAGCCAGGCTGGCTCAGGAATTCTGGGAGTTGAAGTCCACCAGTCATAAAAGAGCCAAGGTTGCCTACCCCTGACCTAGAGGAACATATGAAAGCATAATTAATGTTAATTAATGTAGACTTTATTAGTTTAGAGCAGGGGTAGGCAACCTTGGCTCTTTTATGACTGGTGGACTTCAACTCCCAGAATTCCTGAGCCAGCCATGCTGAGGGGAAGGGGAGAGGTTTCCAAGCTGAGTCAGGCTGGCTCAGGAATTCTGGGAGTTGAAGTCCACCAGTCATAAAAGAGCCAAGGTTGCCTACCCCTGCTCTACACTAATAAAGTCTACATTAAATAACATTAATTATGCTTTCATATGTTCCTCTAACTCAGGGGTCTTCAAACTTGGCTCTTTTATGACTTGTGGACTTCAGCTCCCAGAATTCCTCAGCCAGGCACGCTGGCTGAGGAATTCTGGGAGTTGAAGTCCACAAGTCAAGCCAAGTTTGAAGACCCCTGGTCTACACAAAGTGACAGGAGCATGTTAGGGCAGAAAACTCCAGCTGAGCAGAGATGCTAGGATAGCACGCAACACGGCCAAGTTTGAAGACCCCTGTCTTAAAACATCCTGGCAGACAAATTCTGGGAGTTGAAGTCCCCAAGTCACAAAAGGGCCCAGTTTGACGGCCCCTGTCTTAAAGCGTTCTGGCTGAGGAATTCTGGGAGTTGAAGTCCACAAGTCACAAAAGGGCCAAGTTTGAAGACCCCCTGCTCCAACTGAACTGGCTGAGAGACATTTAAAAACACTGTTAAGACAGCATGAACCCACCTTTCCAATGTCTTGTAGAGTTGCCAGTTCTAAGATCTGAGAGAGAACGTCCAACGCTGATCTCAGGAAGGCACCAAACTTTTCATTGACGTTTTGGAGATCGAGTGTGACCTTACCAAATAAAGGAAAAGAAAGAAAGACATAGAATTCTTTTATTGGCCAAATGTGATTGGACACACAAGCAATTTGTCTCCAGTGCAGAAGCTCTTAGCCAGCCAGCCAGCTCAGGAATTCTGGGAGTTGGAAGTCCACAAGTCACAAAGGGGACTGTAGTTTCCCCACCTCTGCCTTAGAACCTGAGTCTTACATATTCAAATGGCTGGCTCAGGAATTCTGGGAGTTGAAGTCCACAAGTCATAAAACGGCCATGGTTCCCCACCCCTGCTGGCTCAGGAATTCTGGGAATTGAAGTCTACAGGTCATAAAGGGGCCGTAGTTCCAGTGGTGGGATTCAAATATGTGAACAACATCTGTATGTGGATGCTGCTTCTGGAAGTCCATTCTGGACCTGGGCAACAAAAAATTAGCTACTGGTTCTGCCGAACTGGTGCTAACTGGCTGAATCCCACCACTGCATAGCTCCCCACCTCTGCCTTAGAACCTGGGTCCTACATATTAAAATGGCGGGCTCAGGAATTCTGGAAGTCCACAAGCCGTAAAAGGGGCCCTAGTTCCCCACCTCTGCCTTAGAACCTGGGTCCTACATATTAAAATGGCGGGCTCAGGAATTCTGGGAGTTGAAGTCCACAAGCCATAAAAGGGGCCCTAGTTCCCCACCTCTGCCTTAGAACCTTATATATTAAAATAAAGCTTCCCCCCAAAAAAGCAATAGCAGAAATCACATGAAGTGACCCTGTAGACAAGCACAGAGGTTTTCTCCTCCTCTCTCCAAACTTGGAAAAATCTCTGGGTGACGGAGAGGCCCAACGGCGAGTGACATAATTTAACAACACAATCTTAGCTAATCAGGCATGTTTCTCACAGCTGCCCCCCCCCCAAAAAGACTCCTTAATTTCTATCCAAAACTTCAGAAAAGGCAGATTGCAAGTCAAACCAAAGCAGGGCCGAGAGTCGGCTCCAGATTTTACAAAACACAAAGAATCAGAGCTGCGAAGTCAACGCCCGGTACTTCCTCGTCAAGGAATTCGTAACATGCGAATGGAAATGCCCTGGGATACAAGTACCTTGTAGTTGGCGTAGGTGGCCTTCAGAACGTCGTAGAGCTTGAGATACGACGGGAGATGATAGAAATTACCCAACGTGGAGGACGATTTACTTGGAGGAGCTGAGCTGGAAATGTCACTCTGCCTGGGAGCTGATAAAAGTCAAGCAAGGAGAAAAGAGAAATTCCTGAATAACGTTAACGCTCTTGAGCGCTTCTCTATACCTCTGTGGATTTAACGCGTGTGAAGTCAGCTGGAGGCGAACTGCGGCAAGACGGACACTGCGAGCTAAACTTTCCCCCTCTCCTTCTGTTCAAGTTAGAGCCCAAACTTGGTAGCTAACTTGAAGAGCACGGAGCTTCCAGGGGGGCCATGCTTGGAACTGCTTGGCTACGTGTGACAGATTTTTGTTGTTGTTGTTAGTTGTGAAGTCGTGTCCGACCCATGGCGACCCCATGGACCACGTTCCTCCAGGCCTTCCTGTCCTCTACCATCTTCTGGAGTCCATTGAAGCTCACGCCTCCTGCTTCAGGGACTCCATCCAGCCACCTCCTTCTCTGTCGTCCCCTTCTTCTATTGCCCTCCGTCTTTCCCAGCATTAGGCTCTTCTCCAGGGAGTCCTTCCTTCTCATTAGGTGGCCAAAGTACTTGAGTTTCATTGTGACAGATTGTTGTTGTTGTTGTTAGTTGCAAAGTCGTGTCCGACCCATCGCGATCCCATGGACAACGTTCCTCCAGGCCTTCCTGTCCTCTACCATCTTCTGGAGCCCATTGAAGCTCACGCCTCCTGCTTCAGTGACTCCATCCAGCCACCTCATTCTCTGTCGTCCCCTTCTTCTCTTGCCCTCAATCTTTCCCAGCATTAGGCTCTTCTCCAGTGAGTCCTTCCTTCTCATTAGGTGGCCAAAGTATTTGAGTTTCATTGTGACAGATTGTCACAATCGGGAGGAGATTGACAAGGATGAGAGAGGGGGAAAGTGTGGAATTGGAGTGCAAAAAAGAGAAGGCGGGACAACCAAGGCAATTACAGTTAATCTGGAAGGATGGCCCTATCACACGGGCAATGAGTAAGCAGTTAGACACAGCAAGGTGTATAAAAAAGAATCTCCCCACCCCATGAGCTTCACTCTGAGGACGCTGGCAGGGGACCAGCAAAAGCTAAGTTGTTTCTTTTAACATTGTAAATAGTTGTTTTTATTGTTTTTAAATATCTTTTTAGCAATAAACTGGTTTATACCTCTCCAGGAGATCGAAGGTTGTGTTATTGAACAAATATGCCCACTGCCAACATCGTCAGGGTACATTCAAGTCGATGGGAAAGTTCTTTTTTTTTCCCCCCATCAACTTGAATGTACCCTGACGATGTTGGCAGTGGCCAACGAAAGCATGGTGTTTTATTGGATTAAAACTTTTATAGTTTTGCAAAATTTCCTGGTGTTCGTGCTTTTTAGCTTCTTGAATATGGATATACCCAGGAATCATCAGTTTGTTTTTAATATTATTATTGATATATATATATATATATGTTTTCTNACGAAGTCACATTCGTCATCTTCAGGCTGGTGTCTTCAGCTTCGTGCTTCTAAGAGTAGAAGCACGAAGCTGAAGACACCAGCCTGAAGATGACGAATGTGACTTCGTCGAAACGTCGCCAAGGTACTTTTAATTCTACGCGGGAGAAAACCCGAATAACTAAAGACCTACATATATATATATGTATATATATGTTTTCATAGATTTTCACATGTACAGGTATGCAGGTCTTGGCGTATTCGGGTCTTTTCCCGTGTAAGATTGAGAGTATCTTGGCGACGTTTCGATGACTAATGGGCACATAGCCAGCACCTCAACTACTCAGGATGTTAAAAAACAGCTGAACAATCTGCAAACAATAGCTCCCACACAGCCCACCAATCCACCTACAGCAACTAAGCCAGCACTCCCCCCACCCCCACCAATATTTATAGAGAGACGGCAGCTCCAATCACACTTTGCTTGCACAAGCACGAAGCCGAAGATCCCAGCCTGAAGATGACGAGTGGGACCTCGTCGAAACGTCACCAAGATACTCTCAATCTTACACGGGAAAAGACCCGAATACGCCAAGACCTGCATACACACACACACATATATATTTAAAAAAATCATTTAGACTTTATCACATCATTCTCCAAACCTGGGCTGTTTTCACTCGTCTTTTTAGGGCTTATGGCTACCGTGGCTTGTTCTGCAACATCTTTCTCTTTCCCTTTGCGACGGATTGGACTCAGCGAAGGTGGGTTGGTTAGAGACGGTAACGTGGCCTGGAGGAAAATAAAAATAAATTCATTAAAAAATCATCCTCACTGCCTTCTAGACAATCAGCCATTCCCTTCGGGCGGGGCGAAGTTTGGAAGTGGTGGGCGCCCCATCATTGGAGCTTTTTAAGAATAGATTGGACAATCATTTCTCTGAAGGTGTCTAGGGCTTCCTGCCTAAGCGGGGGGGGGGGGTTTAGACTAGAAGATCTCCACGCTCCCTTCCAACTGTGTTATTCGGTTACTCTGCCAACGTACCCTAAATCAGGGGTCCCCAACCCCCGGTCCGTGGACCAGCACCGGGCCGTGGCATGCCAGGAACCATTCCACGCAAAGAAGCAAAGCCCCATCTGCGGAATGCAGGCAGTACACGAAACCACGCCTCCTCCGGTCCACGGAAAATCCTCGTGCCAGGGCAGCATCACTGCGGGCTGCAGCGTGAGCCTCGTGCTGGTGGTAGCATCACCGCGAGCCTGGCAGCAGCACAAGCCTCACGCAGATACTGAGAGCCTCGCGCGCATGCTCGCAACCCCGTTGGCATGGAGCGCATGCTGGCAGCCTGTTTGTACGCACGTGCGGGCGTGTGGCCATTCACATTTCCGCATGCGCAGGTAAGGCGCCTGCCCCTCCCTCTCCCACCGGGCTGCCAATCCCAAAAGGTTGGAGACCCCTGTATATAATTCACAGAAGCGGTCAGGTGAAAGAGCGATGCTTCTGGTGTTAACGGCCAAACTCGGCATAATTTGAGTGGATGAATTTCCAATGCTGGGAATGAGCAGGGGACTCCCAAAACGGTCGCTAAACGAACCGTTGTAAAGTCGAGGATGACCTGAAACAAAGTCTTAGGCTCCCCCTTCCCTGAAAACAAGCCAGCAACCTCCGGGCAACAAGCGTACCTTTAGTGTCGGGCCGGGAACGGCATCGTCCAGGATGTGGGAGCAAATGTTGATGACCTTCAGCAAATGGGAAAAGAGGTGGTCCACCATCAGGGCCAGCGTCTGGTCAGCCAGGGCCGCCCACGAGTCCTCCTGCTTAGCGGGCGCAACGCTCGCTTCGTCCTCACTGTGCGTCCAGGGGTTTTGCAGAGATTTGGAGGCGCTGGCTGAGAGCACGACAAGCATTGAAAAAAATTGAAAGATGGCTAAATTGTTTTGATTAAAGGAAGGAATAGGGATGTCACGGTTCGGGCAGATGATACTCTTCAAAGAACTTCAAGGCATTGTTTACCTTAAAGAATCTTTATTCGAGTAGCATAATATCGGCACTACATAATCAAAGCCAAAAACTGAATTCCCCTCCCCTAAACACATAGTATCAAAGCACAATTCCCTCCTCCAATTAATAGTCATAAATCACATTCTCCAATTAGTTTGAAATGCAGATCTTCCCTCCAGTTTCATAACCCGCCATTTCTTATCATCTCTTATTTCAAACAACCTTGAAGAACACTCTCCTGTGATGTTGTTATGTCTAACTAATCCCCATACACATTCTTCCCCCTCCCCCCCAGCATCATCTAATTCTAACTCTAAAAGTAACATATAGATTAAAGAGAAAATGGCTGCATCTTCATATATTGTCAAAGCAAGAACATCCGATGTTAGCAGGGTTGAAAAGAAGTACTTTCGTTTCTACGTGGAGAGTGGATTTTTGTCCTTGAGGTGGGGAAAAAAATGAAAACTTTGATTTTGGGTTTGGATTAGATTGATTTGTTGTTATAGAAATGACTAGTTTATGATCGGAGAAGATGTTATTGGTAGATGTCATAAGACAGATAAGCAGTATAGTGTTTTTATAAGGCATGAAATATGAAAACATCGGGATGGGGTGTCTAAATGGAAAACCTGGATATTTAGATGATCAGCATTGAGAAAATTATGTCTGATAAGAATTGTTGGAATATCAAAGGGAAATTAAGCCTAAATAAGAACTAAGAAAGTTGGGTATATGTATAATGATGATATTTATCAGAACAACACGAGTTGATAAGAAAAAGTGTCATACCCGGACGCTATTATTATTTGTACCAACATGAAAAAAAATGTTTATATTTAACCATTTATGCATTGAAAATATTAAGAATGGTATTTGTTTAAGGTTGAAGAAAGAGAATACTATTGGGAGAAGGGACAATCAAAGAAATATACTATTAATTAATATATTAATTATGGACTTACAAAAATTAATTATTATTGACTGTTAATTAACTACTATTGATTGTTTCCCCCCCAAAATATATGAACCAAGAAAACACGCTGTACACCAGGTACTAAGGATTGTTATTGTAAAAAAAAACAACCAATAAAACATTTCTTTAAAAAAAAGAAAAAAAGAAATGGCTAGTTTATAGCAGCATGGAAAAGTAAAAAGTCCAGGCTGGATGCTAATGCCTTGAAGTCGGAAGTCAATGCCTGTTCTTTTCTTTTTCCGTTCCCTACCGTGTCCTACTATTTGCTTCTGTATTTTATTCTATAAACTAACAAAATGTTATAAACTGCAAAAAAAAACCAGAAAGAAAAGGAAAAGAAAAAAAACCATTGATATTAAAAAGCATTTACAAATCGAAATAACTCATGTAGGTAGTCCTCGGATAACGGCCACGACCGAGCCACAGGTCGGAAAGTTGCCGTGGCTGCCCGCCCCTGTCCTAGGCAGGCAGCCCGTCTCCTTCGTCGTGACAGGTGGTCCTCAACCTACGACCGCAGCTGAGCCTCAACGTTAAAGTGAGTTTCTCCCCATTTTACCACCTTCCAGGCCGTTTTTTCCAGTGCCGTTGTAACTTTGATCGGTCACTAAACAAACGTTGTAAGTCAAGGACGACCTGAATCCCCCAAAAAACATATGTGGATTTGTATCGGGATGGCAACACGGTTCTTTCCTTGAGGCCGCAACCTTTTTATACACAGATAAGGCTCCCCAAGATTTAACACCTGCGAGTGAAGGTTAATTTTTCTCTTACCTGCCAGCAAGTTCCCAGCCAGGAGCAAAGCATCTTGGTGAGCAGAGAGATCCATAGGGAACGAAACGGAGGAAAGCAGAGACAGCAGCAAGCCCACCATCCCAACTGTGCTCTTCTCCTGAGGCTCCTCCACGCCTCCCAGGAGAGAAAAACTGGAATTCGAGTTTTAACATGATCAGTTTCCGCCACCGGAGGGATAAAATGCTGGCACAGAGCAAACGCCACGTAGCGGAGACGAGTCTGTTTGCCTAAAGCTTATTTGGGATGACTTAACATTCGCCCCACAAGCGGGACTATCCTGCTTGTGTGAGGTTTGGAGTTAGGCAAGACTCTGCAGGGACTTCCCCCCACCCCACCCCCCCAAAAATTGTTCTTATGGGACACACGAGGGCCTCCCACCCTCGTGGGAGAATTCATCGGGCTGGGCAAAACTCGAACTGTGGGTAAGGGATCAAAAAGAGCTGCTCATACATGCTTTGTAGATTATTGTCCTCCCATCAGCCCCAGAATTCCCCAGCCAGCGTGGGAGTTGAAGGCTGCCAAGACTGGAGACCCCTGCCCCTGGAAACCCCCTCTCCAAGAAAGGGAATGCAAATGAGCTGCAACTTACCCACAATGCCATCCCACGTTCCAGGTGCAAACCGGGAACGACGAGGACAAAACACACAACGCTTCGCAGCAGCCAAACTGAGAACCGCAAGGGAAGAAAAAAATGTTAGGGTCAGTAAAACACAGGGAAACGTGGAAGAGACGCGGTGCACGGGGCGCGGCTTTGGTAGATAAAATGGCGCAGTTAAGATGCAGGACAAGGCTAAAAAAGAAAAAAAAAAGCCCAACTGGTAAAAGCACAGGACGTCAAGAATCCAGGATCAAAACTTACTGTCAGAGACCGCGAAGGGGATGTTGTCAAGGCGTGGGACACCGCCGAGATCACTCTGGAAAGATTGTTCTCCACCATGACATCTGCTGGGCCTTGCATCAGGTTGTATCCTCTGTATGTTCTAGAGCAACATGAAAGCATGTCGTTAAAACATTTCTTCCCGAACGTTAATCGGGGCTGGTTAAGGAGGGAAAGGACATTTAACGGATGGTTACGTCCCTTCTAATGGAGGCCTTATTCTACTCAAAGAGTAGAATCAGAATAGAGCTGGAAGTAACCTTGGAGGTCATCTAGTCCAACCCCCTGCTCAGGCAGGAAACCCTATACTATTTCAGACAAATGGCTGTCCAATCTCTTCTTAAAAACTTCCAGTGTTGGAGCATTCAGAGCTTCTGGAGGCAGGTGGTTCCACTGGTTAATTGTCCTCACTGTCAGGAACTTTCTCCTTAGTTCCAGGTTGCTTCTCATCCTGCCTTCTGGTGCTTTGGAAAATAAATTGACCCCCTCCTCTTTGTGGCAGCCCCTCAAATACTGGAATAGTGCTATCAGGTCCCCCCTAACCCTTCTTTTCTCTAGACTGGCTAAACCCAAATCCTGCAATCGTTCTTTGTATGTTTTAGTCTCCAGGCCTTTCGTCGTCTTAGTTGCTCTTCTCTGCACTTTTTCCAAAGTCTCCACATCTTTTTTGTGATGCGGTGACCAAACCTGGATGCCCTATATTCCAGGTGTGGCCTTACTAAGGTTTTTATAAAGCGGTACTAATAATTCACCTGATTTTGATTCTATGCCTCTGTTTACACAACCAAGGACTATATTCGCTTTTTTGGCTACTGCCGCACACGGCTGGCTCATGTTTAACTGATCGTCCGCTGGGACTCCAAGGTCCCGTTCAGTTTGCGGCTGGAAACCTAATGTGTCAAGTTATTCAGCAATTAGAAGGATGCAAGTTAAACCCAAAGGTGCTTTTTTCACGAGTCAACTGGAGTTTCTAGTTTTTCTTTGAAGACGTTTCGCTTCTCATCCCAGAAGCTTCTTCAGCTCTGGCTGGATGGTGGAGAACGGAAGGACTTATACTCCTTGCAGAGAGCTGATCATTTGCATTCTTTTAGAGAGTCGTGGAGGCCACTTGGAGGTTTGTCTGTGTCCTCAAGGTCACCTGAGTGGTGCAAATGGGTGTGGAACACAGTCCTAAGAACCCACACACACCCATTTGCAACACTCAAGTTACCTTGAGGACACAGATAAGCCTCCAAGTGGCCTCAATGACCCTCTAAAAGAAGGCAAATGACCAGCGGTCTGCAAGGAGTATAAATCCTTCCGTTCCCCACCATCCAATCAGAGCTGAAGAAGCTTCTGGGATGAGAAGCAAAATATCTTCAAAGGAAAAACAAGAAAGTCGAGTTGACTCGTGAAAAAAGCACCTTTGGGACAACCCTGACCTGGATGACGGAGAACCTCCATAGACAAAGCAAGTTAAACTCGACGACAGATTTATCCTTCGTCAAAAGGAAGAGGCGAGTAAAATAGAAGGTCCTCCTCGCGGATTTAAAGAAATGTTACTGAACGAGGCGTTTACTCCCGGCTAAATGCAGCTCTACCTGGTGATGGTGCTCACGGCAAACTGGGAAGCTGGTGGCGTTTCGTGCATCAAGAGTTTCAGGTAGACGCTGCTCTGCTCCTTCGCCAGGGCTACGACTGGGTCAGCCTGCCCTCCATCGCAACCGTAGAAGAGTTTTGGAACCAGCCTGCGAGAAAGGAGGGAAGAAAAGCGAGAAGGCCCTTCTTAACTAAGAGAAAAAAAGAAAACCAGGGACACACTGGGCAGCTTCAAGCCTCCTTTGTGGGGCGGGGGGGGGGAAGGTCCTGGAGAAAACGGTCACATAGCAGTTTCAGCAGACCCTGCAGGACGCAGATGGCCGCATTTTCCCGTGTAGAAGACGCTATTTTTTCCTGCCAACACCCTGTTCAAAAACCAGGTGCGTCTTATACACGGAAAAATAGATAGATAGATAGATAGATAGATAGATAGATAGATAGATAGATAGATAGATAGATAGATAGATAGATA